TTGCTGTTATTGTTGTTGTTGTTGTTATTGTTGTTGTTGTGTTTGTTGTTGTTATTGTTGTTGTTGTTGTTGTGTTTGTGCTTGTTGTGCGTGTTGTGCGTGTTGTGCGTGTTGTGCGTGTTGTGCGTGTTGTTCGTGTTGTCGTAGTCGTAGTTGTGGCGGGCGTCGTCGTCGACGTCGTTGCTTTGATGATCGCGGTTGTTGGCCTTTATGCTAGAGGCTGGCTTTTCTACGTAGGTTTTTGTCGGTGAGGACAAGGAGAGGGACTTCCAGCAGACGGCCCGTCAGCAGCAGGCGCGCGAGCATGAGCTCCGTGAGAGGGAGCGAGCTGTTTTGCAGCATGAGAAGGAACTGAGCAAGAGGCCGCTCGCTCCTGCAACGTCTCCGGGATCCACAAAGGTTGCGCAGATGCCGGAAGATTTCGTGCAGGTCCCGCAGCGTGCGCGAGCCAGGCAACGACAGCCGCCAGGCCCTTCTGATCGAGCTGCGTCCCGAGAAGTCCCAGTGCAGGCCAAGCGAAAGAAGCGCGTGCTGTCGGACTACAAGAGCCAAGATGAGCAGCGGTGGGGCTGGTACCAGCATTCCGCAGAGAGGAAGCGTGAAAGTGCGGCAGCGACAGAACCACTGTCGCAGCCACAAACTACGCAAGAAGTCTGCAAAGAAAGAAGGTTAAACGAGCTGCTGCAGAAGGCCTCTCGAAAACAAGGGAGGCCTGAGGTGGCACTAGAAGAAGTACGACGCGATGTGGCAGAAAGACCTGTTGAACATCCCCCAGCAGGAAAAGACGACAGAGGCAGCTGGGCTTCTGTGCCGGAGCAGGCAGAGGATCACGTTCCAGAAGAACCTTTGATGTTCCACGCTAGCCAGTCTGAAGAAGCTCCCGCCGAAGAGCAGGAGCCGGCGGAAGCTCTAGAAGACTCGAGAGCGCTTTTCCACTCCGGGCTTGGGCAAGAAGCACCAGAAACAGGCCGCATGACACTGGACCTTGGAGAGCTGTTGGATGCAGTTTCCAAAGGCCTTGACCCTTTGGAGGTGGAGCAGACGAAGCGCCAGAAGCAGCACTTGGAGGATCATGGGACTTAGTAAGTAAGGTTATAGGTCCCCTAATTGGGGTTCTAAGTATAGTTACCTTAGTTATATAACCCTACTTAGTAAGGCCCATGATCCTTTAAGCAGAGCCAGGACTTTGCTTCGGCGGCGCCGGGGGATGGAGACGAAGACGTCTCTGAGCCTGAGGCGCCTGAAGAGATCAACTGGAGCTGTGACGAAGCAGAAGTGGCTAGGTTCCTCAGTACCCTTTTGCCCTTTTGGATTTTGGGGTTTAGGGTTTAGGGGTGCCCTTTTTTGATTTTGGGGTTTCCTGATTAAAACCGAATGTTAGGAAAGAAAGGGTACCCTTAGTATGAAAGGGTTACTGGAGAACCTAGGTGGAGGAAGTGCCGCAGGCTGTGCCAAAGGCTGTGCCAAAGCCGAAGCCTATGCCCTCTGCGCCTCACGAAGAAGATGCCATGCAGCCACCGGCCAAGGACATAGCTCCTCCAGAGCCAGCGAGGCTCAACCAGTCGGGGCCAGCCAGGCCGCTTTTGATGGAAAGTGGCTCCATTGCCACCTCAGAGGTAGAGGAAGACTTGAATAAAATGCCAGACAGCGCTTACGATCTGCACCTTGAAGCTGAAACGGATGCTGCCGACCAAGCTGACGTGCATCAGTCACAGGAGCTTCTTGCTGAGGCCGATGGGGCCCTAGATATGGAGGATGCGGGTCCGGCAACCCTGGAGCCACCGGAGCCCGTGCTCACAGGTCGCCAGAAGAAGCAAAAGTGGATGGAAAAGAGGTTCCCTGGCCTCCCCGTGAAAGGTGCCTCGAAGGGTGGCCAGAAAGGCCAGAAACAGCCGCGCGCGGAGGCCAGGAGTCAGGTTTTGCCCAGGCCTTGGCCCAAGCGGGGAAGCTCCAGGCCCCCGGTAGTGAGGCGCCTCCTTCCGAAGGAGGAGTGGGCATACCGGCCCTTGCCAACTCGAAGAGTTGTCGAAGGCTACTCTAAAGTCTTGCTTAAGGAGTTTGCACAGCTGAACCAGCTGCCAGATGTCAACAGCCTGTTGCCACCCTTGTAAAAAGCTGCTCGTTGCCCAGCCCATGCTCACACGGGTCCGGATTTAGGAGGTTTTTCGGGTATGGGGTTTTGGGTAGTAGAGGGTCCCGAGTCAATGATGGAAATAAATTGGCAATCTGGCTTTTGTTCTTCGAACAAGTTTCATGCAGCTTCCCGCGATGGGACCGCTAGATCCATAGGCCAAGGCTACCTCCAGCAAAGGCTACTTGGAAGATCGTGGGACTTAGTAAGTAAGGTTATAAGTCCCCTAATTGGGGTTATAAGTATAGTAACCTTAGTTATAACCCTACTTGGTAAGTCCCATGATCCTTTAAGTAAGCTGAAGCCGTCACCCTGCGACACCCTCGTAAAGCCCAACATGGTGCCGGAACAATTGGCATTCGGATCCCTTTGCAGTCCTTAGACTAATAATCGAATATCCCCACAGCCCTGTTCGAATCATTCATTGTCCTCGTAAAGGACCTTTGTAGAACGCGTGAGGTTCCCTTTGAAAGCAAACCCGAATGTCAAAAATGAGGCTGCTGTTTTCATGGGTGTAGCGTTTCGGGTTTTGGGGGGTCAACCAGCAAAGTCAGCCCCACCTTTGCCCCTGGAAGCCCTTTTCGAGCATTGAGCCCCAGATCCTAAACCCTCAGCCCCAACGCCTAAACCACAAAACTCAAAAAACCCACAACCCTGAACCCCCAAGCGGCCCTAAACCCCCTACACCCCCTAAACCCTAAACCCTAAACCCTAAACCCTAAACCCTAAACCCTAAACCCTAAACCCTAAACCCTAAAACCCTAAGCTGAGTGAGAGATGTCAGGCGCTGTGTCTTCGAGTGCCTTGGGCCCGTCTGATAGCAGAGCCGGGCCTTCTCGAGGCGCGAAAGAGTCCCAGAGAGCCCAAGACCCCCTCAATTAAGGAATACATAGGGTTTAGGGTTTAGAGTTTAGAGTTTAGGGTTTAGGGTTTAGGGTTTAGGGTTTAAGGTTTAGGGTTTTTAGAGTTTTCAGGGTTTTTAGGGTTTGCTTATCCCATAATATTAAGGCCCCCTATAATTTACGGTATATATACATATTAACCTGAATTAAGGGGTGTTGGGCTCTCTGGATTCGGGGGTTGGTTATGACGGGTTTTGGGCACTGTGTGGCGCTGACGATACACCATGCCTTAGGCTCCAAACTTCAAACTCTGAGCCCGGCACCCGAAACCCGAAGGTGTCTAATTGGGTTTTGGGGTTTTGAGTTTAGGGTTTACATAGAGTTTCGGGCTTAGAGTTTAGGGTTTAGGGGTTTGTAGTTTACTGTTTAGAGTTTACTTACGGTTTACCCTGAACCATAAACCCCAAACCCCAAACCGTCATGGTCAGGATAGGTTCAGACCCGAAGCCCGGATACTTCAGCCCCAATGCCTAAAGCAAGGGTTTAGGGTTTGGGGTGAAGGGTTTAGGGTTTGAACACTTCTCTCCTTATAGGGCCCCGTATAATTCTGACATAAAGTAGACCCAAACCCGACAACCCTAAACCCTCCTTAAATTATGCAGGACTCCGTATTAATGCACTACACCCTTGTAGAGCCCCTAAACCCTAAACCCTAAACCCTAAACCCTAAACCCTGAACCCTGAACCCTAAACCCTAAACCCTAAGCCCTAAACCCTAAACCCTAAACCCTACGAGGAATCCTGGACACCCGCAGGACTTCCAGAGCTGGAGATCCGACGCATGGAACAACCCCAGGAGTTTAGGGTTTAAGGTATACACAGATTGTGAGAGGGTTTAGGGTTTCTCTGTCTAGGTGTTATGGTTTAGCGGTTTAGGGTTGAGGGTTCAATGGTTTAGGGTTTTAGGGTTTGGGGTTGTTGGTTATGCAATGTTTCTTTGAGGGTTCCCTTTGAAGGCTTTAGGGTTTAGGGTTTGCTGTTGAAGTTCAGGGATTAGGCCTTGTTCTGAACAGGGATTTCCGTGTTGGGTTGCAAGTCTGGGTATGCTTCGTCACATCAATCGTCTTCGACTTGGAGGAACCCTAAACCGTACACCCTGACTGGAAACCCTAAACCCTAACTTGAAACCCTAAACCCTAAATCCTAAAGCCTAACTCACGGCAGGTCCTCCGGATGTCGACCGCGAGGAGTTTAGCCGCCCAGGCCGGGTGTTCGCGACAGAGAGGGCCCAAGGACTTGTTTAGGTTCAGGGTTTAGGGTTTAGGAATCTAACCCTCCACCCTTAACCCCTAAACCCTCGACCCCTAAATCCTAATTCGGGGTTTAGGGGTTTAGGGTTTAGGGTCCCTGCAGGAAGTAAATGAGCCTCTGCGGGGCTTTGGGCATTAGGTTAGAGTTCAGGATGTGACCTAGCGTGCATATTCGGTTTTTGGGTGAGGGTATACAGGCCTGGATACTAGCAATGAAAACACCAAAATCATATAATACACGGCCTGCTTTAGTTATTGAGGCCCCTACAGCATTTAGGGTTCAGGATGGAGAGGTCTGCAGGTAGGGGGTTTAGGCTTCTATTAGGGTTTAGGGTTCTATTGCTTAGGACGACCCAGACAGACACGAGAATGTCAAATAAACAACTCTAGATTCCAGGATTCGACTGATTACCTATAGTCTCCGTTGTAGTTCCTTTTTGGGGTTACCTTTTAGGAACCCTAAACCCTAAACCCTAAACCCAACAAAAAGAAACTGCAATGGAGACTAGATGAGGCATGCCTGGCTCAAAGGATCTCAAGTCTAGTCTCGACAACGAGAGTTCAAGCCTTTCAAAGTTCGGTTTAGGGTTTAGGGCTTTAGGGCTTTAGGAGTTTAGGGTTCAGGGTTTAGGGTTTAGGGTTTTTCAAAGTTGTGACAGGGTATGGCAGGAAATTCACACTTCGGGGCCGTGGCTCGGGTTCCCTGGATTTGCGATTGGATGGAGGGCTTTGGGCTCCAAGTGCATTTGCAGGCTCGGCTTCTTGCAAGCACTGGTTTTGAGGCTTCTGGTGCTGAACCTGGGATTGATGTCATCGCAAGGCCTGCTGCTCTCATATCTAGACCATAAACCCTAAACCCCAAACCGCGAACCCTAAACCAATGCCATGCACCCCAAACCTTCCTCTGTTTACGGTCTTGAGGCCTTTCAGGGTTTGGTTCAGGGTTTGGTTCGGATCGCGGCCGAGCTTAGCGCAGGTGCTTTACAGTAGCGCGTCTGCAGAGGGCTTGCAGTAGGGTTTAGGGACATCTGGAGTGACGGACGACCGAATACCTGGCTGTAGCATAAAGGCCTGAATGATTACCAATACTATTCCTTCGGGTTCGTTGCTGTAAAACTGCACTCTACCCCAAACCCTATCCGAATCATTACGGCCCCTCTATTAAAGCACCGTAGTTTATTCCAGGCCTCAAGCCCGGACCGTCACCAAGTCGACTTTCTACGTAGACTCAGTCAGAGCCGTACAACTCTGCCCAACTACTCCCTAAAGCTGTTGCATGCCCTACACTCGAAAGCTTGTGGACTGGATCAGCCCTATAACCCTTCTCTAATCCCTAGAACCTTTATGGACTAGGAACCCTCCTGAAGCCTCATAAACACCATGAGCCCTGTAAACCATAAACTCTAAACCAACACTTCAATGCAAATTTCATCCTGATAAACCCTGTGAATCTTGCAAACCCTAAAATTGAAGCCCTAAAGTCTCCCTAAACCCAAAACCTGAACCCTAGACCCTAAACCTTAAACCCTAAGAGTCGCACCCAACCTTTAAAAAAAAAACCTTAAACCCTAAAACCTCAGCTGAAGATTCATCAGGTCGCAGCGAGCGACTCAGCTGCCCGTCTTTTGGAATATGGCGCTGTCCTGGAGATGGCCCGTCAGATTATTCCCGAAAGCGTCGGCGAAGCGTCTTTCATCGGAGTCTATGACATTTTCAGATTTGATGCCTTAATGTCTAGTTTACTGGTTTTGGGCCAGGAAAACGATGAAGCTCATTACTGAAAAAGTGTTCTTGTGATTTGTTGAACGTATTTGGACCTTGAGGAAGGGATCTTCATTGAGGAGTTTAACACCTACCGCTTGAGACTTGAGAGTACATAGCACTTTAATCAGACATGTTAAGGCGCGTTGTCCTAGTATTGCGTTCAGGGTTTGTTGTGATTGCCTTAGCAGCCACTGCAATGTTCCAGAATACAGTTCTCGAAAATCTACAATAGCTGCTGGGAGGGAAAAAGAAAGGCCTTTGTAAACTACTGGTCCCTTTCCCGTCTTGACTCGCAGAAACCGCTATGAACTTAGGTACGCCTTAGGCGAACCCCCGAACGGTCGAATCACCCGTGGCAAGCAGGGGCAAATTTGAATCCCCGTGCAAAACGACACCGCGACAAATCCTGTGAAAATCCATGCAAAGAGTCTCTAAACATTAAAGCAACTCGCAGTGTAAGCTGTAAATCCTAGACCCAGAACGACATGTCAATCCCCTTCCGCCCTAAACCCAAAACCCTAGCCCCTTCTGCAGACCTGCTACGCCTCACAAGCCGCCGCGAATACCGCGGCAGCCCCGTCGTCCAGACGAACCATGAGCCGTCGCTTGGATGGAATTTCGCTGTAGGGTTACCCAGAGAGCCCAATACCCCTTAACTGAGGAATATATACCTGAAATCAGAATCTTTAGGCCCCGATAATTCACCCAAGAGAAGATTCAATCTTCCAAGGCTCGAACAGCTTCATATCTCTCAGCCACTCTCGACGATGCCATATGCGGCTTATCAGTCTCATCGCTGCTCTCTTTCGCGATGCTGTTTAACTCAGCACTGGCAATGACCTGCGCTCCCTAAACCCTAAACCCTAAAACCTAAACCCTAGACCCTAAACCCTACACCCAGATTCTTAAATTGTATGTTCGTTTATCGGATGTGTGGTTGAAGTTTGCAAAACTGCTCACCGAATTGCCGCCGGGATAATGCAGCTACATAGACGTAGACGTTATAGAGTCCCAAGCAGTGAACCATTAACTCCAGACTGTAGTAGATTGGAAAACAAGTCGAA